CGCGAAACAGACGGCCTCATCATATAACTGTGCGTGGGGCCTCATGTTGGCCAGGGACGGCCCTGTCTAGAAATAATACAATTGTAAATTGGGAGTGCTATTGTTACAAATATGATATATCACATACATGTATTTGATAGATGTTAAATATATTTGCAAGATCAGCTTGATTTGAAAACAAATGTGTTCAAGAGGTGGCACAGCTAACCACCTTCAAAGTTTTTCTATCACACTTCATGACATAACTCTCGAGCGTACGTTGCACACAGGGGGATTTTAAATGCCACCACACTTCTGAGTCAGCAGCTGATGTTCCCACCAAAACACAAAGTGTCTCAAAACAGGTGTAATTTCTGACTTACTGTACTGACTAAAGCAGCCAGCCTGTCAGTAAGGACGACCGCACAACAACAAAAAAAAGGAAATGTTTCCACTTCACTGATTACTTCAAAAACACAACAAGACAAGCCTCAGCGAGTAGGCGGTGGCACGCGGTGTACTACTTATAACAACGCAAAGCTGCGAATTAGAGTAAACAAATATAGTTCATAAAGAAAACAGCAATACAAGTGTTGCAGTAGTCACCCGTGGCTTGCAAAGGCCACATATTCTTGCAACAGTAAAGATCAATCAAATCAAATTGTTGGAAATCATGTTTGAGAAATTGCTGCTCTCAGGCACGTAATGTTAAGAATGTTATTATGGCATTATTGAAGCCTAAGACGTATAGAAACGGAAACATTTATACATGAAAAGATGTCAAATATGATACCATTTCACACAGATGCTTTGGTGCCTCACCCATGTAACTGCCTTCTTGCACTATTTAAGCTGGCATCATCAGCATCACAAAGCCAGGGTGTTCTCTCTGCAGAGCAGCTGCAACATCTCAAAGCTGATCCTGGACCAGTTCTAAAGTAGACACATCTGTACAATCAGACACTTCTCTGCCTCCTCATGATGCTGCGATGAAAACATGCCAGAATTATACATAAAGAACTGTTTCACTTTTCAATCTTTTCATTGACTGACACACGGTTCATCATTGCGTGTATTCTTTGCATCTCAAGCAGGCTCTGTGCAAATCCCACGTCCTACTGTACACAGTGAGGCGGAATGCAAGCAAGACAATAGTACATCTTTCATTGGTTTGGCTACATAGTTTCAGTTTTCTGAGACTGATGTGGGGGAAGGGGGAGAGGGGGAGAGGGGGTGAAGGGGAGAGGGGGAGAAGCCCTCCTTACTTGCCTCCCTTGGGTGACAAATAAAGCATTCATAAAAAACATTGACTTGAATCAAATAAAGTGTGATGTGATAATTGAGAGAAGACGTACCCAGAAGATTGATTCTCATCACTATAAACTGACTGACAAAATCATGTAAATATTGTAACTATTAAGTAGGGCTGCTCAATTAATCGTATTAATTACGATTTTGGCTTGCAACGATTATGAAAACAACATAATCGAAATAAAACGATTATTATTATTTATTTATTTAAAAAAAAAGAAAATTGGGGTTTTTCAGTTGAATTATACTTAAAGTTCAGGGAAATCAACTGTTTAAAAACATATTGTTCACATTTTTTTTCAATAAATGGATGTTTTCAAAGTAAATGGATAATCGTTTTGAATAATCGTGATATCAATTATTGACCCAAATAATCGAGATTATGATTTTTGCCATAATCGAGCAGCCCTACTATTAAGCAACAACGGATGTTTCAAGATTGGACATAAATGCTGCCACTATAAAACTAAATAACACAATTTTGTGTCTTGCAGCAAAGCTCCAGGATCTAAAACTCCTCTACCGAACCCTTTTGGGTTGTATAAGGGATTCACACTTGAAAGTGTTTACGCCAGAGACAATCAAGATCAGATATCATGCCTTTATTCATTTGAATAATACAGAAAAAATCCACTACTAGCAACAATTTAAAGAATACAACCTTAATATCTCGTTATAACTGTAACTCATACATGTATACATTAGGCCAAAGCAGATAACTTGTGGATGTAAACTGATTTGCTTGCTATGCTAATCTTTTTAGCAAACTAATGTTAAAATGAGCAGAAATGCTAACATTTAGATTGTCCCTATTTGTTGTGCTAATGTTAACATTTCCTTGCTAACGGCATAAGCATATAGCTAGCTAACGTAGAAAAATAATTGAGATTTTTTTCTGCTTTACGTTATGTTACGTAACTTTAGTTTACTGTGTATTGAGATGTAAAGCTTGTCTTGTTTACCTGGTGTTATGGAATGAAAGTGATACAATGCAATTCATATACAAATAAATAAGAAATAATAAAACATTACACTGCGCCAGTGGAATGTAAAATGTATTGTATATGTAAGTGATTTTCCACCTTAACAAGCATGATTTTTTTCAGTGGCAATCTATTACAATTTTGTTGTAGTCTTTTGTACACTGCGACTGTTCTGATACTGAAACTTGACTGCATGAACAACCGTTTTTTTCGCTCGACTCTACATGTTTTTTTCTCTCTCAGTGTAGCTTAACCACTTTTTTCTTCACATGTATTTGGCTCTATTCTGTATTCCTGTAACATGAACAGCTTCTGCATTTAAAGCAACCAAACCACCAAAACGCTGCCATCTGTCTGTCACTACAGACATACGCCTTCTTTGTGTTTAGGAAACATGACAGGAAGTGATGACGTCAGTATGTTTCATGTAAAAAGGCAACTAGGTTTGCTGTGACAACATCAAAACAAACAGTTCTCGTCTCTCTGCAGGGTGTCATCACTTGAGATCATTGAAACGCAGGTTTAAATTCAAAATTCTTTGCTGAACTTAAACAGTGTTGTAAAAAATGTACACACAAAATCAATATGCATTGTATTTATAACTACATCTAAACATATTAATTTCTGAAAAATATGTTTGTGTTCTTGCCAGCTCAGGTGTTGTTACACAATACAGAATCCACCAAGTTCATTTAAATCTATTGGCGCATTTCCACTACAGCGCGGAGTGCGGTTTAAGCGTGCCGTGCCCGGTCCGTTTTTGGTTGCGTTTCCACTTGGCGTAGTACCGGCTAGCGGGTACTATTTCACAGTTTTTCTGGCCCCACAAAATCGTTTTCTAAATGGAGATCGGCTAAGCTAACACAGTATATGCTTCGACCGTCCACACTCACAACAACGGCCTATACAGACATAAATAAACCAGCGACTGTATTCGCCATGACACAGACAGTCTGTGGTTTGTACTTGTTTAATTTTTGTCTAGTTTCTGAACAGATATGAGGAGCTGTGAGCTTGAGTGCTAACAGCTAACGGTTGATGTTGTTTTTCTGTGGTTCGCATTGAAGATGACGTCACAGCTCCGCCTACACTGCGTTACTATAGTTACTGCCCCAGCTACTAAACTGTAATGGAAACGTAGCATAAAGTGAGCCAGTCCTAACAAGGCCTAACAAGGCCTATCTATACCGTACAAGCTACGTGAGAACTTTGGGCTGGCTTTGTTCCAATACAGCAAAAACAGTTAATTTTAGCTGCATGGTTTCACTCTTTTATACACGATACAACTGTGACAATGTCACAATTCACATCAGCAGACAGTGGAAGAATCTAAAAGTATTTGAACTACAGTGTTTCCACATGTCAATCTTCAGTTTATAGTGAGAAATGTCAATAGTATTTCCTCCCTAACCACTAATATTTCTCTTTGCAGAGATTAGTTCTATATAAGTGAATTATCATGTAGCTACAGCTCACAGCTTACTTTTTTAGCCTCTTTGCCAAAGTGTCAGGTTTCATCCAAAACAATACCAAGAGGCCAAAAGCTGCCTGTAACAGAGCCAAAAAGTGTTTTGTGGTCCAAAGACTTTCAGAATAAATGCCACCTGTTAAGTTTTTACTCAAGCAGAGACACATTACAGCCAAATAGAAACCCCCTTACAAAGAAAACGGTACACGTAAGATGAAATAAACCAAGTTCAAAAGAAAGAGTCACATTTCCAGAGAAGTTACAGTGAAGAACTCTTGATAGCCTTCATAAAGTCACTCCCCCCGAAAACTCTGCCAAAACTTAAGCGGATTCACTCTCTCAGCCAGACTGACAGGAAGCTTTTCCCTCCCCCTTCTTCCTCGACCCTCCTTCAGCTGAGGGTGGGCGTGCTGAGGAAATACAGATGCATGCAGATGTTGACGTTCCACAACGAAAGTTGTGCCCACATCCGTTCCCAATGAAGACTTTTGTAGCCTATAGTAGGCTGCTCAAAACAGTAAACAGTAAAACAGCAGGAAGCAAAATACAGCACTTGTACAGTGCAGTACACTTTCAGCATCACTGGAGCCCAGAGATAAAAACAGCAATGGTTTAATTGGGCTTTTCACAAACTTCAAATCCTTGAGTTAGCTTGTGACTGGATGAGTCAGAGAGATAGAGAAATAATTCCAGGGAATGTACTTGGTAGGCTACTTCTAAAGTCAAATAAAAAACAGCTGTCATTAGCACTTTTTAAGTGGTTGACTACATCATGAGGAGCTTTTAGAACATAATTGAACACTTTCTCCTGTCAGTGTCTCCCTGCACAGTCGATGGATTGCTACATTTTCTTGTTGCACACTAAACAGTAACAGTATAACAGCCACACACACCGCTAAAAAGACAATTAAAGTTTAACAGTCTCAGTGTAGGCTATAGCGTTTTACTCTAACGTTAGTACTTAGTAGGAGACGTCATTCGGTGGAATACATTAAAGCATTGCCTACTTTAATGTAGCCTACCGTTAAAAGAATGCTTAAAAAGTGCAGCGTTACGTTACGTGTTCTTTTAAACAAATTAATTCAAAACATTTTTCTTGTTCACTTGTTACACTACATGACAGATGTTTCGCCCCAGCAGGGCAGGGCTGCAACTACTACTACGAGTCACGAGGACACACACACTTTTGGCTCGCGCACACAAAGCAAACATATACGCACATTTAAAAAAAACAGTAAACAAAAACCACTCGGTCTTACCTGTTTTGCAACTTTGGGGTCAATTGCTGGTGCAGCACCGTCGCGCATTTTCGTTGTAAAAAGGGTTAAAGAGCTTTAAAACAGCGTGAGAGTTGTTTACAAAGTTTCATCGTGAACTCCGATTGGCCTGAGTGAAGTTAGTCGACGCCCCAAACCTCGGTCACCGGGCCGAGTCCAAAAAGTAGTTTCCTGGACTTGCTGCTGCTCTCATGTAGGACGCAAAACATGGAGAAGGAGGCGAGTTGTTGCACCTTAACCGTGAAGTGTAAGATGAGTAGTTTAGGGTTTTTTTCACTCAGCTTTTTTTTGGTTTAAGTTTACCCGTTGAGCCAATGTCGGCTGCAAGTAAGGCATAACAGACCTATGGTAACTGAGTGCAGGGGTGCGTACAATGCATGTAATGCCGATAAGTAACAGTCACACATTGCAACAGAACACACTCACTTTTTGCATATAAAAAAACAAACATAATAATAATATTATTAAATAATAATAGTCATATTATTTGCTTTTCATTAAATAAATCATATCCTTATATTTTGTATGAATGTTCTGCTTTGGTCTTAGAACATTTGGTTTGTTTATATGGACATAAGTACTGAAATACCATGTTTTGTTATCTTTAAGAAATAATTCCTCAAAGTAAAAACAGTTGTAATGAAGAATTGTAGGTAATTCTTTTTTGAAAGAATTGTCAAGGCACCCTATAACCTACCTTCACCTAATGAATGAAGTGGAACGTGCTATGCTATATCATACTGTATATTTGTGCTACATCAAATCAAAGCAGTTCTACTGTAGTATTTATTAGAATGTATAGTGGCCTGCCGTTGTATAAAGTGTTATATAAACAAATGATAATGCAGCACTGTGTAATAGGTTTTGTAGTGCTGTCAGGTGGGAAGCTACATAATCTGTTGCATGGGGGAAAGTGCTCAACTGTTTCCCATAGCACATCACTTTCTGGCTGCTATACACAACACTAAGAAAAAAAGTCCCTAGAAATAAAAGCTGTTTGACTTCTTACACATTTAATTGGATTATACCCAAAGAACAATAAATCTAATGGCGATGCTTTAAAGGCACCATGCTCTTCCTCAAGCAGCATCAAACTAGACACAGAGTAACATGAATTCCCAGGGGCCGCCTCAATCATTTTTGGGTTAGTTTTTGGCACCTTTTGTGCTTTATTGAATGAACATGCCTTTGAACAAATAAATTGCGCCTTTGCATTAGACATCTTCCAGTAATGTTCTACCTTAAGTGATTGTATTTTCCACAGTGTTTGTAGCTGCATACTGATCCCCTATATAAAGTGCCTGGCTGTGTTCACACATCTAAATCTTATTTTCGCATTGCTGTGAGTGATATTGGATATTATCACAGAGCAGGCTGTATGCCTGTAAGTGTTATAAAACACCAAAAATAAAAGCAGGAGACTTACAGTAGGGAATTATTTCAGACAAAAACAACGTTCATATAACCTAACAGGTTTTGTATGTTGCCCACTGGGTAATCAATTTGCAGGAAAAATATGTATTGCGATGAAAAATATGAATCCCAAGATGTCACAAGATGCTGAGGTCATTGAGGTCACGTGGAAGCTGTTATATAACTGTCCCATATAAATCGTATTATACACTACTCATTGTCAAAAGTATATACAATTCTTAGGAAAAATATGCCGCCTGGATTTATTTTTCTATCACCATTATGAGGAAAGGTTATCAAATAAGTAAAGTTTTTTTTTTTCTGGGAATTAAATCAATTACATTTATTTTTGTCACACATCCATGTCCAAGAATACACAGTGAAATCTAGACTTTGCACTCATCACATCCTAGTATTAGGAGCAGTGGGCAGCGACTATAAAGCACCTGGGGAACAGTGTTTGGGCTCAGCTGTCTTCCTCAGGGGTCCCACAGCAGTGTGACGAAGGGAAAATGGCAATTCTCTAGGTACCAGCCCACACTACTTGGTCCGTTGGTGGTCTTGAACCGGGGACCTTCTTATTGCTATCCCACAGACTGAGCTACCGGCGATATAAATCACATGGGCAGCTGGCCTTTGTTGTGTCCTTTTCCACATGGTACTCTCCATATATTGTGAAGCTGCTGGTATTTGTTTACTGGCAATTTCATTACATTTTCCAACAGAGCTGCTCTTGCAACACCAGCCATTTGTTTTAAAAGGCCCCATCTGTCCATCAATGTTTGTTTCTCCAACTAACCCACTGGTCAAGCTTGGGAGAACAAGACATCACCATATGGGGAACGTTATTTACAAGGGCCCCGTTTTTTTTGTCACCACTTTCCAGATTATTGCTCAACCATTTACACCTTAACCTTGACCTGATGTAAGTCTTACAGCAAACGACAGGCAACTCTCATCATAGGATGAAATGTAGTGGATTTTTTCCTCTTATTTTGTAGGGCTGCATTTCATGTATGCATGATGTCAATTATACTAGACAGGCTGCCAGATAATTGATGTATCAAAGCCCTAGTGACCTTTGCAGCAACTGGGAAAACAAGAGGAGAAACAAATGAAGACAAAAAGTCACTAACAACACTCAGTAAGCCTTAAGCCACCTGCCAATACATTAACTTGTGAAATCCCATTTTAAAATAAGTAATTATAGCCTTAATTGATTTCCAGGCATTTTAATGACCTCTTATCTGCTAATACAGTCTGCAGTGTAAGTAGAATACAAATGTTCATTGCACGAGCAGCACTGAACTTTCTTTCCCCTTCTTTGTGTGCATACATTAAGCAAATCATTTATTTTATTGATCCCTGTGTCTATGTGATATCTCCAGTGTAATAAGAATGTAATGAGAATGTCTGTGCCTCGAGTAAATGTCTATGTATGTATTCATAGCGGCTTATCTAATTTGAGGTCCCCCACATCATGCCGGGCGACTGCCGCTTCACTGAAAGTCACCTGTATTTCTAAAGCCTCAAAGAAGGTTCTGATTAATGAATATGAATTTTACAGGAAGAGCCAGAAATATAATCCTCCACCTTGGTGGGCTCACATAATGAGTCTATTACAGCATTGGATTTAAAAGAGGGGCGGGCTTTGATGAGACAAAATAATAATTTTGAAGATAAGCGAAAGATTTTCTCACATGATATCTGTGTAAAAGGGAAGCAGGAAGAGATGGCGTCGAAGAGGGAATAAAACAAATGTGTTCACAGGTGACATTTATATGTTCCCGGTAATACATGGTCAAACCTTTCAGTTGTTTCAGTTATGTTCTCCTCTTCCCACTTATATCACTCAATTGAACACACACACAATCTCTAAACAAATTCAGGCTCTCAAGGGATTTTCTTCAGCAATTTTGGCATGCTGAAACAATTGATAACATGTTACTATGTGTTTGTGGACAGAATTAATATTCTCTAAAAATTCTACATCATAAAAGTCTACAAACCCTTATCCAAATACACATACATAGATTCTGCTGATGCACTTACATCGTGGAGTGAAACAGATCAGCCATAATATGCCAGAAGTGCTATTTATTTAGTGATTATCTTATGAAAACAAATGTATTTTCTGAATCTTGGAGGAGTGAACAGTAAATTCAGCCATAGCCATGTTAACCAAAGAAAACAGCAGCTATGGTGAGCAAAACGCTGGTGAAAGGTGTGTGTAATTGCTGTTATCCCGCTGTGCAGCTGCTGTTGGCTATACGGAGATGTTAGACGTAGCATTCCACTATTTCCTGACAATAGTGTGCAGGTCTGAAAGAAATTGACCAGTCGGGAACAAATGAAAAAAAGTACATCAATCAATATCCAGCCGCACACATATAAATATATTAAAGATTACAAATGATGAGGCAATATGAGTTGGTTTTTTTGAAAGCTTCAAGTGAGTTCGCAGCGGTCCAATTGGAGAATTGATCCATTAAAATAAAATCAAAATATAATGTAAAAATACATTCTATTATATTCCACTCTTTTCAGTCGGAGCATCATAATGCTGGTGGACAATTTCATCACGTCCCAGCTCCGCAGGGCTTATTCCCACCCACAGAGGTGGGTGCATGATGGCAATCATGTTCTTTGATTGCACTGCTTTCATGGTCATCCGGCCCCTCAGGGTGAAGCTCAAAGTGAAGCAGGTGGACAGCAGCATGGTTTCTTGGATTATGGACTATTTAATTGACAGATAGTGCAGTTTGGCCTCCTCCAGAGCATTGTGGTGCAGAACAGAAAGGAGGCTTGCTGGGAATAAAACCTCACAGCTTTCATATTCACTCTCCACACAGCAAGCTTCAGACGCAGAGCAAGAACAAATTCATGTCCAGTTTAAAAAAACAATTGATGGCTCTTTAGCTATAAAATAAATGCTCTGTTTTGCTCCAAAAGTTACGGTGGCCAACCAGGGCCCAAAACACTTCCATTGGTAGAAACGCGCTGCACTTTCAAAAACAAATGCAAGTAAAAAAGCCTATGATGACTCGCTGCAAAACCAACTGTTAGCCTTTTTGTTTATTTGTTTAATGAAACCGGGTGCTTTCAATGTGACCATCTTTATAAGGACGTTGGCACAGGCTACCGGGGAAGTGGACGGCGAGGAATCTTGGAGGGTTTTTACTCCGAAGAGGGCTTCCCGGGGTACTGCAGCTGGAGCTGTTTGCTGGTGGCTGAGGGAACAACAGACCCCGCCTCACCCCAGTCAATAATCCTCAGTGTGGAAATTGTGCCCGTCTTCTAAATAAATAAAAATGGATTCTGCACTGAAATGCCTCTCGGTCAAACTGCATGTTTATCTTTTGCAGCCAGGTGCATAAACACACTAAAAGTTGTTCAAGCAATCAAGCACCTCTTCAAAGACACATTTGATTTGATTTATTTCGAACGTGTAATACAAAAAAATAATAATAATGAAATGAAACAAGAGAATTATGATACTGTAGAAACGTAAGCAGTATCACATTGATAAACTAAATATGATTGACTTACAAATTATATATAAACAAATGATATACCTAATTACACATCCGAAAAGGCGTGGGAAGGAGTTTACACTTATTTAACCCCACCCCTTCTCCCAAAAACTAAATTAACAGTTTTGTTTTCTTTTAACAAAATATACATCTAAATGTATGTCTACATACAATATACATTTACAATTATAAATAGATTATATCATTGTTACTACAATATATATATATATATATTTACGTTGTATGTCAAATTTGATAAGACAAATATAAAAGACTATCTTTT